GGGGAAGACCAGCATCATTACCCGGTTCATGTATGACAAGTTCGACACCACCTATCAGGTTATCGATCACCCTTTCCTTCGATTTCGTGGCGGTCTTTTGGCATCCGATCTGTGGATTCTAGTGCCATTTGCTTTTGATCGAATGACTTCCGGTATCAATTGGTTTGGTTGGGTGTAGAAAATTGGAGTTTGGATGTACGGCTTTTCGATTGAGATTCGTTGACTGGGTATCTTGTTTTAGATTAGAATGGGTTCGGATTAGTCGATCTGCGAAGCCAAAAATACTTTACATAATCTGGTGATTTTGTTCTCTATTGTGGGATCTCTTATAGCATGCATGATCCAGATCCTCCACGTGACGTACTTTCTTGTTTTATATTTATGGAAATGTTCCGTCTGCTCGTATTGGTGGTGGAAGTATGGATTCTTTTCTTGCACAGTGGAAATGATATATAGTTACTATTCTGTAATTTCAAAATGCTTTTGAATTGCTGCTGCTAATTTTCATTCCATGATTGAAATCAGAATCTTAAACTGGATTAGGATACCTGAGATATTAACACTGTATGACTGTTGGATTTGGTCGATGAAATTTATTTTGGTTCTTCTGGGCAATCAATAATCTCTTATAACTTGAATGCAAATTCTGGACCTACCATTGTGAAAAACTTTGTTTAAGTTGTTTAGTTTCTGTATGAGGCTTCTGTCAATGTGGCTATGGTGAGGGATTGATGTATGCATCACTAGTTTTGCGTTTCAAATTGTTTCTCTGTTTCAAACCCTGACCTTCACTTTACCATGAAGGGAACTTAACAATTAATCCAAGCTTACTTAGAGTAAATTTTGGCAAATGGGGTGATAGAGTAGCTGCTAGGGGATGCGGAAATAATAGCTTTTTATGCCTTGTTTTGATGGGTTTCCTGGTGAGATATGGCTGGGACACTAGCAAAATTAGTAGAAAACAGAGAGAAGGCAACAAAGGAAAGGGAGGGGTTCTTACAGCAAGAAGATTTGCAGTTGTCTCACAAAGCTCCTTGACTCACTTAGGAAAGGATGAGATCTCATTGATCGTAGAAAGGGGTCTAGTAAGTGGCTATTCTCAATCATCAACTTGGTCTAAGAGGGAATTTATTGGCTATTTACAGCAATGTTATGACATTATGACCCAAACAATTACTAAATAATCCTTGCAAATTAAATTACATCAAACTGGTCCTAGTATAAATAAATGACATAACAATCATAGCAAAGAAGGAAAAGGACAGAAAAGGTTAAAAGATCTTAATGCATAGATCTGATATCTGGTGGGGGATCAAAGGCAATGAGGAATGGCTTGATAGGCTCCAACAGTGTGATCCTTAAAATTGAATCATATCTGCAAGTTGGCTAAGTAGAAGAGTTCTTTTGAACTCAAGATGAAATGCTTGATCAATTGAAATTGATGAATAATAAATGAATGATGATCACTCTTTAACTATGGTCAATCAGATATCCAAATTTACATTTATATTATACACACAAAATGCAAAGTTATGAAATAGAGACCATTTATTTTATCAAACTATTATACTGTGTAAACAGGTATGATGTAAACTAAAAGTGATTGTTTTTTTTTTTTTTTTTTTTTTTAAAAATTTTTTTTTTTTTTTTTTTTTTTTTTTATGAATAAACTCTCCTAGAAGTTTTTGGAGGAATATGAAACATTATGGTTTTTGGGGACATTATAGAGTATTTATGTATTGCCAACAATTTTTAGAAGTATAAGATGCTTATTAGTTTTAAAGTGTGCTGAGAAAAATGAATCTGAGGTGCCTCTAAGGATACTTGTGTACTGTCTCTTTAGAAAGCATGCATTCCGTTAATTGGTAAATATCCAATTTTGGCAATTATTTGTAAAATACTTGAATGTGATGAAATGCATTATTGAAAAGATTGATGTGTGCTTGCTGCCGCTTAAAAGGATCAAAATGCTTCAATGAACGTATTGGAGGAAGAATATAAATCATGAAAAAGGAATATGACACCATCATGAAAAAGGACTATGACTCAAAGCAATCCAAAACATACCTCTTGTTGGAAAATAATATGTTATTTGTTTTTTGAAGAAACTTTGGAAATGTGTTCTAATGTAAATGAATGGTGTAGTTTGTGGTATTATTTGTGAACTGGTGGAATCATCCTTATATTCAATACTCAATTTTCTCATCACTTTTGTTCATTATGACAGGCTACAATCGGCATTGATTTTCTCTCAAAGACAATGTATCTTGAAGATCGGACAGTCCGCCTGCAACTATGGTAGGATATTGAATTAACTTGATTGAGAAAGTTGACTGTTGATAAGTTGCCCATAAAACTTTCGATTTACGGCTCTAATCCTTATGTTGCTTTATTTTGTCAATTAATAAATTATAATAAATTTAAAAACCTAAATGAAAGATAATCTACTAAATAATAAGAATGAATAATTAATGAAAGAAATAGTTATAACGAGTATCAAGTTAGTAAGCTATTATAACACTAATTATATTAGTAATTATTGTTTACTTTATAGGGAAATTAATTGACTATTTTAAAGCCACTTGAAATATGAAAAAAAAAAAAAATTTAAACATATGCCTTATGTTATACTTGCTTTGTGGCTAGCACGCAATCGCAAACTCTAGCCGCTCACATATTGCTCGTGGGAGATTGACGCACGGTACTTCAATGCTCTACCGCTAGTAGTTTGAATTCCGCAATTCCTTGTCATTTCTTAGCATAAATCTTGCACTCCGAGGGGAACAAGAATGATAAGAAGCATTTAAAAAAATAAAAAATAAATTTGTATTTTTTTTACTAAAATTTCCACCCACAAATTATCAAAAATGGGAGACCCACGGTGTTTTCTATTAAATTTGACTGTTTCTTAATGGAGGGACCAAATGGGATTAATTTTCAATAGTCAACCAAATTGGGGTGGTTTGAAACTCTGGAACTAAAATCGGATTCTTATTAATTTTCGGGGAATTATTTTGAGCTTTTTCTTGTTTTCACATACTTCTCATTTTCCGTTGAATTATTAAATCTTATTTTTTACTTTCTTACATCAAATATAATTTGTTAAGTATGTTCCATTGCATAAAATTTTGATTTTGTCTATCTGATAGGGACACTGCAGGACAAGAAAGATTTAGAAGCTTAATTCCGAGCTACATCAGGGATTCATCTGTTGCGGTTATTGTTTATGATGTAGCCAGTAAGTTTTCTCTGGGATCAAGTACTATTGGGTGCTTTTCTCTTAATTTTTTAAATTAGTTTTTTCAATGTTCTTTGCATTAAATATTTCAACAGCTTTCATACTCAAGCTAAGAGGAACGCGTCTATTGGTTCATATTTTTTTTCAATGTTCTTTGCAGGAAAAACTTCATTTGCTTATTTTCCACTAGCATTATTAATAAGGAAATCATTCAATTCAAGCTCTTAAAAAAAAAAGTAATCTATAAAACATACCATCAATTGATTTATTGAAATCTATCTCCAAGAGCATTCAACATTCAACATTTTGTTATCATCTTTCACATATATTTTATCTTTCTTGATAGGATAGGAGTCGGATATTGATATACACAAAATAAATCTTCAACATGTTATAGAGTGATTTGATTCCTCATTAATTATATAAATGAGTATGCACTCCATTTTTTCTTAGAACAAGGGGAGAAAAAGACTTAACCAAACAATGTTATGGCAGTAGTTTGTAGTGGATGGTGCGAGTTGCTCAAGTTTCATGAATTACCCATCATATCTTTGGAATGCAAATATTCATGATCCCCATATACATCAAAATATTCATAGAATTTCAGTACTCACATTCATCAAGGAGTCTCTTCTCATTTATAAACTAATATTTCAAGCAAGCTTTTCCTTATATTATTTCATATTTTGACATATTTTGGAGGAAATACACATTGAGAATTTTCTTTAGTCATTCCTTTCTTGAGCATCTTAAAAAAAAAATCAAGAAAACACAATTAGACAAATATTTTATGCTAGAAGAAATAAAATGAGATGGAAGCATTAAATGAAACTTATCTTAGATTCAAAGAATGAGCTAAACAATTAAGAGTGTTGCTTTTGATTCACATGGCCTGCAAAATAACAAAAAAAACAGCCCAAAATCTTATATGCTCGTGATATGACTCTTTCATGTCTATGAATGACTTCCATCATTATAAATAATTGAATCCATCTTACAAATCAAGTCCAACCAAGACTTAATTTTATCAACATACATCACATAAATAGGATCATTAAAAGAAAAAAAAATATAACTAACATTAAACGTAATCTAACAATTTTTTTTTCTCAATTCGTATCTTTCTAACATCATACTCATGATAGTATACCATTTCTTTGTAATCACCTTGACTTAAAAGAGCTTTTTTTTTTTAATGTCTTAATATTTTCATCTTCACAATAACTAGAGAAAAATGAGTTTCAACCATAATAAGCATTTTCCATGTTTAAAAATCATTAAACGTAAAAATCCTCTGATAATGATTCATAATAACTTTCTAGCCATGAAAGCATCATAAACAGCTACATTTATCCAATGGCATCATTAAGTGACTTCATTAGCCCCATTATTTTAATGTTATAAATATTTTTCAAAATAAGATTGAGCTTATGTACAACACAAGGTGTTCAAAAAAATATAAGGATGTCTTCAAATAGCAAACTCATTGCCCTAGAAGTAGGAGTTCTATCAGTAATTAAATGAATATCTTATATAAGGGTGACCTCTATCATCAATTCTTTAATCAAGTTAGAGACGACTGTATATTATTGTATTTTCCCTTATAATTTACTGATCTAAAAATTTTGATTACTTTCTAATAATTTCGATCACACAATGAATTCATGCTCTCTTTTCCGTATTCCTTTGTACGTTAAAGCAACATTTCAATAGCAGCTTTCTCTTATTACAATAACTTTGTTCAGATTGGAGTGTATTTTGGTGTTGCACTCCCAGTAAGCATATTGTTATGATGATGATTTTTTGTAAAATTGAAAGTAAAACTTGCAAAAAAAAAAAAAATCTTGCAATGTAATCATCTAATTATTCTTGAATTTGCTTATTAGCCCCCTTTCACTAATGTAGTATCTATACCAACGTTTTCGTTTTTTGCCCCCATTTATATTAAAGAAGAAGACAACTAAAACCACCATGTAAAAGAAGATCTCTAGAAACACTCCTTTTTCATCCTTATATTATCTTCTTTTTTGTCTTTTACTTTATTCAGTCGTGAGACATATACTTTATGGCATATTTTATTATTTTGATTCATTAATTCTTGAATAGCATTTGTTGTATTACAATAATTAAATGTGAAAGATAATCACTCCCTTCAGATGATCTTCATGATTTAATTATCTATGGGCACAATGATTTATATTTTTATTGACCTCAATAGAACCTTCACCATCAGTTGAACTTTATCCTTAATTGGCACATACAAATATCATCCTAAAGCTGTAGCCATTCAATAATATGCAAACAAGTGGAATGCACCAATAAGCAAATGATCACATGCATTCTTAATTATAAATTTTTATCCGTTCTCCTACGACTTCATAAAATAATAATGTTTTTTTTTTTCTTAAATGTTCTAAACTCATGAGGTTTGTCAATTTAAAAAATCTTTAAAACAATCAAAACATCAGTGGTCCGTTAATTTACTCATACCTCATGAAGTTTTGAGTAAATATTATTTTCTTGATTCATATTTTATGCGTGATTAACTGAAAAAATTAGATGCTCGTAATATGGATCCAGAAAAATGAAAGTATTTCTTTCTCTTCATAAGTTTTCTTCAAATTAAAAAATGTATTTGCTTTCCCATATATAAATTTTTAGCTGTGTAAACAATGTTTTGTTTTTAATCCTAATAATTGCAGATCGGCAATCATTTTTAAATACGTCAAAGTGGATTGAGGAAGTTCGCACAGAACGTGGTGGTGATGTTATCATTGTTCTTGTGGGAAACAAAACTGATCTCGTGGACAAAAGGTTACACATCTGAATAAGTTTTTACTTTGAAGGGTGATTCGTGTTATTTTTCTATGCCTTGATTCTTTTTGTTTAAATATTTGAAATGCAATTCCATGGAATTACTTTAGGTTTCTTTCTACAACTTTATAGTTTACTTCCTTGATCATCATAGGCATTCTTTCTTTTACATTACATTTTAGCCTGCCATTTAGGAAAATAATACTACTTATTATCATGCTAGGTTTTTTTGTGAGAAATTGAAAATATTCCTTATGCTCATTATGTCTGGTAAAATTTTGTATCTACAATATCAGAAATAGCTTTATTATTATTGCATTGGAGAATTGAGAGTAACAAAATGTGTTGTTATTGGAGTGGAGAGCTGAGAGTAAGAAAGTTTGAGATTGATACGCCACCAAAATAATTCATCTAATCAAAGAGCGAGTTATAACACAATTTTCATATTTCAAAATTTATTCATAAGTCCTTTATAAAATTTTGTATTACAGTTCATGGTTAAAAAGCATATGAGATCTACACATCTTAAGAATCAATGTGAGGTCTCATTGCCATCTCTGATTCTAATATTCGTTGCATGGGGTTTTATGATCGAGCATCTCAGCTAGTTTGGCGTACACATCATTAGTCAAAACACAAGTTGATATAAGCTCACCACTCTAATTCAAAAACTCCACCACCTCGATGCTTCTAATATCGATGCAAACACATTGAAATCCCTACCACAGAAGAATAGATCATCATTCTTGTCGCTTAGTGAGATGTCGACGACGACTATGTTCGCTTGGAAGTTGATCTTGGGGTAGAAAGTAGGGCGTGAGGAGGTGGACAATGTAGAAGCGTACACTTTTTAGATTTTTAGATGATTATCACTGTTTTGCTTGGAAAGTAGGCGAAGTTCCATTGTGAAAAGTGTTAGGAGTTTAATGAAAGCCAAGGAAATTTAGAGTTATGACAAGACTATATAGATGAAGTCAACTAGGGGATAATAAGGTGATGGATAGCTTTGGCTTCTTCATTGTTGTTGGATCATCCAAAGATGGGTGATCCATGACTTGAAAATTCATCGGAACCATTACTCTTATGCTCGTGAAGGACTTAAAAGGAGTTGCAAATGTATCTAAAGCTCTAGCATGTGAATTAGAACTCTATCATAATATTTATGTGAGCTCGCACAAAATTGACAACATCGTTGGAGGCGTGAGATTATTAGATCCGTGTCAAATAACACCATCACCATCCGAAATGGATTGTTAGAAAATATTACTTTACATCTAAATGTAAAAGAGATGAAAAAGATGGAAAATATTAGATATTTTTGACATTTTACTCTCCATTGACAATTTTATTAATGAAATGTCCTTCATCAAACAATTGTTTATATGACTGAATAAAATGAATAGAGAAAAGAATCAAAATGGTCCATCAATTCTTTGTGAGGGACCAAAATGGTCCTCCACTCTTCTAAGGGACCAGTTTGTTCCCTCAACCCCTCCAAATGGGACATATTTGTTATGTGTGGAATCTAATTGTGTTGATCAATCAGGTTGTTATGTTGTCTCAGACCTCAAAGTTTGTCATATATACTGGGGGATGCAGGGGGGTTTACCCCCTGCTTGGGTTTGGGTACAACGCCCCGGCACTGTGTACCCGAGCACCTCGGCACTGAATGACAGAAAGCAGAGCACCACAGCGGCCTAAATATGACACCGTAGTGGTTCAAGAGAGAGGTTTGTGTAATAGCCTAAACTCTTAACTATCGAGATATTGTCTGCTTTGGCTTATGTGCCTCATAGTTTTATCCTGTTGGTGTAACTTTCTAGTAGGTCACCCATCCTAAAATTACTCTGAGATGAGTACACTTAACTATTGAGTTTTTTAATAAAATTTCAACCATTAAACCAAAAGGCGTCTCGATGTTTAAGAGTTTAGCTTCTTTTTACTTACGGGGTTTCACAATCTCCCCCATTTAAGTAACTGAGGTAGTCATCAGCATCTTTGTCGCATAATCATCCACAAGGCAGATAAGATTCTAGAGGTGGCCCCTACAAGTTCAAGTGGTGCTCCGCCATGTAGCACTTTATCCCATACAGGATTCAAGAGGTGGCTCTCATGGCATAACACTTAATTTTGTATGACACTTATTTCTCATCTTCTGACTGGTGTATTGCTCTGATATCATTTGTAATAGCTCAAACTCTTAACTATCGAGATATTGTCTGCTTTGGCTTAAGAGCCTTACAGTTTTATTATGTTGATGTAACTTTCTAGTAGGTCCCCCATCCCAGAATTACTTCGGAATGGCCGAAGTGCGTTTAACTGCAGAGTTTCTTAATGAAATTCCAACCATTACACCAAAATGCGTCTCGATGTTTAAGAGTTTAGCTTCTTTTTACTTAAGGGGGTTCACAACTTGAGAGTTGTAGCGCTTTAAACTGGCGTCGTGGTGTTGCGAGACGAACTCGACAGTTTTTTTCTCGTTTTCTGAAGGATTGCGTCCCTTGGAGTTATTTTACTTGGCTTTCTCTTGTATTTTCAATTAGGGCAAGAGTGAGAACGGTGCATGTGAGAAAAGAAACAATGAGCATGAGAGAGAGAAGGGAGATATGTACTTATTTCTCCCAATTTTCATAGTGAATTTCTTGGTGTGTTGTGACTCTGTGGTTTTTTTCCCTATTTTGAATTTTTTGACGTTAAATATTGGTGTTCTTACTTTTCCGCTGCTTCTACTTTTTTGTTTGTTTCGTCATTATGGTGTTTACTCCTCATCTTCCTCAATACTATTTGGTCCAATCATTCAATTGTAGAGTTTATGGTGTTAAGTATGAGTGTAATTTAATCATTTTTAATTAAAATATTAATAAATATAATTTTTAAGGGATTATAATTTTTGTAAAATTTTTTGTTAAATTTTCTTTAATAAAAAAATTATAACTAAATTTAATTTTAATAATTTCACTATTTTTAAAACTTTTATATTGTTTCTATTCTGCCTTGTACTTGCTCTAAAGGCAAGATTGCATTGTAATGACTTCCTGTTCCAAGAAATTTTTGCTTGTCGAGGACATGGAGATCAACAGGGTGCAGAAATTGTTTCATGTTTTCCTGCTCCCAATATCCCATAAATCCATATTTGTTCTTGCATGCAGAAATTGACATGCAATGCTTTTTTTTTCTTTTAATGGATTTGTGGAGTATTGAGTAGAGCAATAAAAAAATGCAAAGAGAGAGAGAGAGAATAAAAAGTTTGGTCCATTACAAATGTAGGACAAGCTCTAGAATTATAAAGAATTGAAAAAATAAAAACTTTTGGCAATTAAAAATTCTCTCAATACTTAACTGGAGTAATCCATTGTTTTATTACATACATTGTAGATTAAAGAAGCATATTGTTTTAAAGAAGCATAGGAATTCTCTCAATGCTTCTTTATCCCCTATTGTTGAAAGCAAAAAAGGCGTGCAGTTGAACCAACGCCAAAATTTGGATAAATCCTTTGCTTCAAAAGTTTCATTCAATGAAATTTTTTTTCTTTTGGAGGCCTAAACTTACGGACAAAAAGAAAGACTTGATTAGATTTACATAGCAAAAGAAAAAGTGGTTTATGAAGAAAAAAACTGAAATCAACATACTAAAAGTTTTATATTAGAAGATCCTTGAGTGAGAACTTCCAAAGCAGGTTCAATTGTGGTTGAACAACGTCCTGGACTTCTCCATGTCCTTCCACAGTACATGTTCTTTTATCATATGTTAAGCTGTTGTGTCCACTTTATCTTCATTTACGACATTGAAGCTTGACATTGGCTCTCCCTAACCTTTTTCAGAGTGAATATGATGTTCTTCATTGATAATTCTTCTTCGCATCTTTGATGGTCTTCCCCTCTTTGCGTTATTATACTTTGGCGGCAACAGTTATATCATGTTACTCATTGGCCACTCATTAACACCATTCAAATGTTTTATGTTGTGTTTTTGTATACTCAAACCAATCATCAACATCATCGTCATCATCAACATCGTAACTATCGACACTATCGTCATTAGCATCACCATCACCCTTCTCTATCTTTATTTTCATTGCACTATCATCATTCTCCTCAGTTAAACCAAGAAATGAAAGTGAGAGATTTGAATATTTAAGCAACTCAATTGGTATTTCTTTTATAGAATTTATTCATATTTTAAAATTTTTAAAGTTAATAAATGCAAAGAAAAAAAAAATCAAATATGCAAAATCAAGTTAAAAAAAAATTATACTCTCCCTCTCTGTTCCATAACATTCGACTGTGAGACTCTTTGCTCCGGAGTAGTGGACGAGGTAGGTGCGGTGAACAATGATGAATCCATGAAAAAATTTTCACGGTGAAAAGGAATATCAAAATTAACTCATCGTTTTCACTTGTAAACAATCCAAAAGCGCATTGAAACCAACAAAGAGAGACGACAGTGCCACATATGAGAAGTTAACGGAACTTGCGCAATTGACGATCCCGATCCAAAGAAACTCTTTAGGGCTTCCTTCAAACGATCCTGATCCAAGCTTTTTTTCTTGGGAATATAAAATCTTTGGAAATCATGGTAATTTTGTTATTTTGGAAATAATTTGCTGCTTTTTTCATTACTAGCAAATTTTATTAGAGGACAAAAATATTTGTTGATTTGTCTAAGAAAAAAATTTAATTTGTTATAAAATTACAAGCCAGCTCGCAAACCGAGCCTCTTCAAGCTCGAACTCAAACTCGTTTAATTGATGAGCTCGAGTTTTAGCTCGAGCTCGTGGCTTGATAAGCTCGACTTGTGAGCTCTTTATCGAGTTGAGCTCGAGCCAGCTCATGAGTCGGCTTGACTCACTTACACCCCTATATGGGTTTTCCTTGGCAGGAAACTTAATCATGTTAGCTATTTTTAGTTCAACATTAGCGCCACTAGGACTTCCCACCTGAGACAGAGAAGTTCCTCCTGTTGCAATTGTAATTTTGTTGTTGTCAACTGCATGGTCATGGGCGTATTTACAATTTTCTTAGCTGTGAGAGTGCCTATTGAGTTGCATTTCTACTTTCAAGACAAAATTAATGGCTTAGGAAAGAGTCTTGACAGAGTTCAGCTCAAATTTATCCTGAATATCATCCTTTAACCTGCCAATATAGTGAGTGACCAATTGATTGCTTGATTCGTTAAGGTTATTTCGAGCACTTAGCCTGTAAATTTCTTCGGTGTATTCATTCACTATTTGATTGCCTTTTGAGCAATGTTGGTACTGTAGGTACAATACTTTCTCATAATCAATTGGGAGGAAATGCCCACATAACAATTGCTTTATCCTGCACCAGTTGTGCGCACACCCCTTCCCTTTTCGGCATCTTGTTTATTGTAATTGTAGCCATCACGTGCTCGCTTCTCCTTTCAAGTGGCAAGCAACATATTTAGCTTCTTTCTCTGGGGCGATTTCCATATAATTGAATTAGGTTTGCTGCCCTCCGCTATGAATCCCCCTTTCACTAAACTCTGATACCAGTTTTGATGTAGGACCTGAAACAGAGGGAACCTAATCCTGGAAAGTGGGGGGAAATTGTAAAATATTGATGCATCTTTTTCGTTAAAGCTGAAAGTTTGCATTGTATCATATTTGTCAACTTTCTGCGTATTTATCCACATGGTCATAATTATGCAACTTTATTTAGTCCAGTAATCTGGCATTTAGTTGCACTTTGTGGAATCTTGACTTCCTTTGCATGAAATGGCTCTGCAACTTTATTCAGTCCAGCTTTCCTTCGTTGATGCAAAATTTACTTTTAGTGTTCTTGTATACAGACTTTAACCATGCTGCGTCTGAATAAAACCTTATCATGGTTTGTAAGGGCATCTCCAACCGAAAATCCTATTTTTCACTCCAAAATGAAGTGAAACTAAAAAATACAGTGATTAATCTCCAATCGAACTCCATTTTGCGCAGTAACTGTCTTTCTCCTCTTTCGCACGTTTCTTCCGCAAATCCGATAGAGACATAAAAATAGCATAGGTGAACAGTGCGGCGCCAATATTGGCGTCGCATTGTTCCCCCGCAACCAAATAGCGGAAGTTTTTTCATTCAGTTGGAGCTCACGAGCGACGCCATTCATGCGTTTGGAGTTCGGTTGAAGACGGATTACTCACAAAATTTTGAAGCAGCACATAGACCCTCTGTTATCATTTAACCCCATCATTTCATTTCATGAATATTCTCAAGTCTCGCAATTTGCTATTAGTACCTGTAGGACTCATCCTTGGTTCCTTTTACTTTCCTTTTTCTAACTTGAAAGCATAACAGACAAGTTTCTATAGAAGAAGGTGAAGGCAAGTCTCGAGACCTTGGAGTCATGTTCATAGAGACCAGTGCCAAAGCAGGATTCAACATAAAGCCACTATTCAGGAAAATTGCAGCAGCTCTGCCAGGGATGGAGAACTTGTCTTCTACCAAACAAGAAGAAATGGTCGATGTGAATCTGAAGCCCACTGCGAGTTCGTCCCACACCGTGCAGCAATCTAGTGGATGCGCCTGCTAGAAATCAGCACTAACCAACATAGATCCTTCACTAGGCTTGAGAGCCATTGCAGGTTTGGAAACTTTCTCAGTTCCTCGTATTGTCCCGTTTGATTGTGATTACTTGTGGGCTTTCCTTTTATCTGATCCGACGTGATAGAAAACAGAACATTCGTTTATTCAGTTTCTTCCATTCGGCCTTCACGAATTAAGAGAACAATCAGGAGTCCTGTGTCAACATTTGTGCTGCGGGTGGAAATTTTCTTGGAAACTATATTCTCTTTGATAATGCTTTTTAGTTATATTTTTTAAAAAATGTTATATTATAAACTTTGATTTATTTATGAAATACCAAAAAAATGTTTTGATGCAGTTGTATCTCTTTGGTTGATTTTCTAACTTTGGGTTATATATTTTAAGGATAATTATTGATAATTCATGATTTATTTGGGATAATGTTATTACTATTTTATTTGATATAGTATTTTTTTTTCTTAACAATTTCAGTCACATTCCTTAAATCGCAGATTTGGATTTAGGATTTAGAATTTAGGGTTTATGATTTGAAGTAGGTTCCTTTGAGCCTGAAAGTAGCCGTTGAAGACTTGAAGTCTTGGTACAATAACGTTTCCGTAAGCCATTTTGATTGATTTTGATTGTACAATCTGCCAGACCCCATCACTGTTATGAGCTTCGGCCCTTGTATAAGGCCTCAAAATTGGCTTCAACATAGACAATGTACTAATCTCCCGTCACCTTGGTTCAAATTGGTCTAAATTGGCTTGATTTCAAGCCGAATTAGTACTACTTTTTATTTTTATATATGCGTAGTTCTTCTTTTGGCAAAGTTTAGTGTGGAAGGACGGATCTAATATATGTAGAATTCAATCTCAAAATTTTGAAAAAAAAGCAGAACTGTAATGTTTTTGCCAAATAAATCATACATATATAGATACATAGATAAGACATTTTAAATATTTCAAACAAATCGTTAGATTTGATCAGGGCCGAACCCCAAATCAAAATTTGCTAAAAAAATAGACCAACTCAAAATTATGGCTAGTGGCTTGGCATGTTCTAATCCAAAAATCTTTTCTAATTTAACTCTACAATGGAATAACTATTGATTCATTGAGCTTTTTATCTGTTTTTCAGCAACAAAGAACTATCATAAAACATATGCATCTCATTTGGATAAAGAAAAGGAGCTACCTTCGAAAAAGTTTACATTGAAAAAATTAATTTTAGAACAAAATATCGAAACTTTTTCACAAAGCAATTTCGGATAGCAACTTGCAACCCTATGTAATGGAAAGGCAAAAATCAAACTAAATGAACCCTATCAAAAAGAAGTCCAAACACATTGCTAATCATGCTCTTCACCAATAAAATTATCTTTCAAGTCTTCATAAACTATACAATTACTTCTTCTTCTTCTTTTTTTAAAGAACCTTCTAGAAAATTTTTGAATTATTTCACACCTCTTAAAATTTCTAGTAATTATATAATATATATTGCTCATTGTAACTTTCACTAATTCTCTAGTCTTCCAATCAAAGTCCTCCAATTTTAAGTAATAAACTTAGGCTTCATTTGAGATAACTTCTGATTTGTTTTTTATACTTCAAAAAAATGTGTTTTAAAAAACTGCTACAAAAACCAGTAAAAAAACAGTCTGAAATCTTAGCCAATTGTAGCCCAATTTTTATCACAGCGGGCTAAATCAAAGAAGGTCATTTATAAGGCCCTAGCCAATTGTTATCTACTTCTTTCAACAACCAATTAAACCATAGTTCGTTACTTAGAAGTTATGCCATCGGCATGCCCACTTTGCTCAACAATTAAGCTAATCTAAGAACACTTGGTACTAAAAAACAATAACTGGGATCCATTTCATTAATTTTGATATATATAATTTATGATTGATTGTGAAATCAACTGTGACAGCGTATCCCTTCCATTTCAATAAATTTCTCAAAAATATTTTGCTTTTGGAAATATTTAAAGGCTTAAAGCTCAGACAAAATAACGTCTATATAATATTATAATATTGTGTCTGTTTATATCTTATATTTTTCATAATAAATGTCTCCAGTCAATATAGTTTCTGTATTTTTAATAATATATGTGTCTCTTATAAATGTGGAATTGTATGGGTACTCATATATGTTTATGACTTCGTTTGGGACGATTTTATTAGTGCTTTCTAAAGCAGCTTTCTATATACAAAAATTTTAAGTTTAAGAAATTTTTATATAAAAAAACTGCTTTAGAAAGAACTAAAAAAATTGTTCCAAACAAAATCTATAATACTAACTTGCAAGTTTTGGGATTCATAATTACAATAATGTGTGTAAGTATTCATTCAACTGAAAATAAAAAGTTCACAATGGGATCAGATCATTTTCATCATTCGATGTGCCTTTTAAATTATTTTCACAGGAAGTATACCCTCTATACACACAGATCTTAATCTAGTTTGAAAGACACTTAAGTTTATACACTCTTGTATAATACCAAACCACATAGTTAAGAAATCACAAAAACTAGCCATGTCACAAAATTTAGCCTTCTAAAGCCATTAAAAGCAAGAGGTACAGTCTCCAACTTCAAAGAGACCATTTCTCTAGAAGTAAAATAGGATAGAACAGTAAATTATAAGAAAATAGTAATGCAGACAAATCTGGGCATCTGAAATTATTAAGCGAATCAGGCACATTTTCAAACACGAAAAATCTATGATAGGCAACAAAGTTCTGTCACATAAGAACCAGACACTACAAACTTCGAACAAAGAGTTATACCATCAAACGGTAAAATAGATGTAATAACAATAGGTATAAATTTGTAAATCATTTTACAGACGAAAATCGTGTAGTCCTACTAATATAACATAAGTAGGAAGAAGAAGAGAATCCACAATCATGGCTGGCATCCACTTCATTAAAAAAAAAACAGTATTGTTCATCACAAAAAATTAGGACTCATTTTATTGGTTGTAGATAAAAGACATTTTAGAAAATGAGGACTTCATTTTCATTCATTTTTAATGAAAAAAAAATGAAATCATCTCATTTGAGAAATGTAAAAAAATTTTGACGAGTTTAAAATTCATATTGATTTCTCGCTACATCCAACCGAATGAATAAGTTTTCGTTTGGGGCAGCTTTCTTATTGCTTCTTAAAGCAGCTTTTTAGTAGAAACATTTTAATTTTTGTACAAAAAAACTGCTTTAAGAAGCAAGAAAGTCATCGCAAATGAAGCCTAAATCCAATAAAAAAATCATTTTTCAAAACATGTTTTCTAACTTTATGAGACTTAAGGGCTCATTGATTGTATGTCTTTGCAGTCATTTTGAACGTGAAAAATGAAATCATCACTATGGAGGAGTTTTGAGGAGCTTTATGCGGTTGAAAACAATGCTGGTTTCTAACTGCAACTAACCGAATGAAGGGTGTGGCACACTTCATTGTTTTTCTAAAAAAAATTTAAACTTCACGCAAAGAAATGAGCCCTCAGAACAAATGCTATGTAAAACTTGTAGGAACAAAACAATAGGCTCCAGTAAATCTGCAATCTTAAGTTCAATAGTCTTGACCATTCTAGAGATTTCAAAAGTACGCTTATGTGTCTTACAGTACCATAATAGTAAGTTCTATAGGCAAAACTATTTTCAAGTTTTTGGCCAGTGTACTGAATATTGATGGAAGCAAAGACTTGTTCTTCAAATGTAGCCGAATTTTCATGCTCCATGGCACTTTGGTTGGGAGGGATTAGGAAATTAAATGTCAGATTCAAACCATTAATTCATGTAATTATAAAATTTATGTGACAACCTAAATTAAAGAATTAATCCAAAGCAGAGATGCAAGGATTAGGTGGAGAAGACAGAGAGATGATGAGGGAAGTTAAAAGATTTTTGACAGATATTCACTCTCAGACAGCAAGCAAACCATCCATTTCTGTTTCATAGCTTTCTCATATCTTTTCAATTTGAATAACAAAAAATCCTTACAGATCATCCTAGCAAAGTCCATGCTTGGTTTCCAGATTCACTCCCAAAGTCGCAAAAAATGATCATAATAATAATGGAAATCCCAACAAGCTCTAAAACAGATCAAAGCCATATAAGCACGTTTGCAACAACAAAAATCTCCTTTTACCGCTAAAAAGAAACGTACAAACAATGCATACTCTATCAGTAGCCAAAAGCACTGGCCATGCACCTTCAAAACAAAAACTTTTTAGTTGATTGAAGCATTACCACAAATACCTTAGCTCCACTTTCGCATACTGCTCCATGGAAACTTGTTTTCCTCCTCTTTTCTCCTCCCTTCCCGTTCTCTACCTCCCCTCCTACCCCTCTGCCCTCTTTCCCCATCCCTCCTCGACGCAGGATACCTCCGTCGAGCCTCAAGCTCCTCGCGTTCTCGCCGCTCAGGATCATCTAGCCAGTGCGATCTTCCTTCATTTCCCTTACTCTCATCCACAACCGACGACTTCCGGGACCTAGCCGAGGAGGCCTGAGCGATCCGATCACGTTCCTCTTGGATCCAGCGTATAGGGAAAAGGCTAGGGTTAAGCGAGAGTGGAGAGCGAAGGGTGACGTAGGCCTTCTTGTAATCGGGCTTAGCGGCGAGAAAAGGCCCGCGCTTTTTCTTCTTGCCTTCCATGTTGAGCGTGCGGACGTCTTCTATCTCGAAGCCGTAGAGGGATTCGAGAACTCGTCGGATCTCGATCTTTGAAGCTGAAGGGATCGTCTTGAGCGCGATCTCACGGATGGATTCGAAGGGTGGTGAGGGCATTAGCAGCTTGATGGGGAGGTTGGCGAAGTGGACAACGCGGCGACCTAATCTGCTCCCCATCTATCTCTCTTTTTACGTTTCTCGATTGATCTTGAGCTCGGCGCCTGCTTTTCTACAATTTCACCAGAGTTTCAAGTAGTGTTCCGGCCGTGTTTTAAGTTAATGAAGTTTTTTTTAACAAAAATATTCTCAATAATTTAGGAGAAATTTTATAAATGAGCAGCTTATTAAATTATTTTAGGATTATAAGCATAGAGATGCTGAAATTTAAGAATAAGCAAAACTGTTATTCGATTTTCCGGTTCTAAGTAAGCTAAACAGTGAAAGATAAAATATTTGAGCCATAGTGGTGATGAAGTGTTGAAGATAAACAATTAAGAATGTTAGTAAATGTTTTTTTTTAATAAATTATATTCAACCAGAATTATTTAAGAAATTTCTCGTCCTATAGATCTTTATTCGCATACTTTTTAGAATAATTTTAGAGTACACAATTACCATCTTCTGACCAATCATGTCCTAAACACCAAAGTATTTTATTTACATTTGCTCTTTGCTCCAACGGGCTATCAACTGCTCATGCCATGCACTCATACATTTGTTCAATGGCACTATCAATCCTTTTCATGGAGATGGCTAGAAACTTGTCATAAATTTGACAAAACATTTTGAACATAATAACTCAAAACTTCGTAGGTTCCTAACTTGCACTAGAAACCTCCTCCAAGCAACTTCTATTAATTTCTGTTCTGCTTTCTGTCTGATGAGTTTGGTTTTGGCTTCTGAGAGTTTAGATTGGTGGTTTGTTGCTTTGCTGAGCTGTTGAGCTCACCCTTGTTTTCTGGTGGTTTTCAGGTTCTGGGAAAGGGAAGGAAGTCCAGGACTAGAGTTCAGAGTCTGATCCGTAGGTATTGTTTGTATCTTTTGATTTTTGTACGGTCATGGCTTTTCTTCTGTGTTTATTCTGCTAGCCATGTACCGTATATTGGTAGCTCTGTTGTTCTTTGTTTGTGTGTCTGTTGAGTTAATTATTTTGGAAGATTCAGTTCAGAACTAAATTCCAAAGCCAGATCCTGAATAAGAAGATTCTGTCGCGATCCGGCTCGGGCGGGATCCGTCCCCATCGGGTCGGGTCGTGACAATATTAAAGTTATATTGGCAAAATATTAAAGTTATATTAAAGAAAAGTATAATAGACAATATTGTTTTACGCCTCATCTATTGTGATAGGATCTTATCATAAATAGTAGAATCTACTAGTATTTGCATTTGACTACAAATGAAACTCTTTTTTGAAGGGAAGGCCTTGGCTCGATGTAGCAAATATATATCATATAGAGTGTATTACATGGTGGGAGTTGGAAGAATTAGTGTCGGTAAGTTCATTTGGTCAACATGATCATAGTCGGCGAGTGATGTAGGTCGGAAGGACCGCAGTCATGTGACGGTGGTCAGAAGGACTGCAGTTGTCGGAAAGACCTTAGTCGGGCAAATATTGGCAAAAAGATCGTAATTAGGCGACGAATGTCAGAAGGACGGTAGTCGGGTGACAAATGTGAGAAGGGTTGTAGTCGGGCAATGTAGGTCAGAAGGATTGTTGTCGGCAACGGTGGTTGGGAGGATATCCGACGATAATCGGTGACCGGGCATAAGTCCATCAATAGTTGGTAGTCGAGCGGAAGTCCGACGAAAGTCCAACAACAATCAATGGTCATGTGTAAATTTGGCGTCAGTTAGTGGCAAGGCGAAAGTTCGACCAAAATCAATGGATGGGCATAAGTATGACGACAATTAGTGGTCGGGCCAAATTTGGTGGCCATGCACAAATCCTGTGTTAGTTGGTGGTCGGGAGAAAGTCCGGCTACAATCGTTGGTCGGGCATGTCACGACCCAACCCGACCGGAATGAATCCCTTCGCGTCGAGCCGAGACAAAATTGAAATTCAGGATCTAGCTTTGGAATTTGCTTCTGACTTTCTTCCAAATAAACAGGCACACATAAAACACATAGCTACTATAAACATCCAAATATACATAACAGATCATCTATATTTTCTTCTTTCATCAAATAATCATGTAAAATACATTGCATGGCTACAGACAGAAAGAACATAATAGAAAAGACATGACTGTACAAAAATCAAAAGTACAAAATACTTAATTACAGATCATACACTGAACGACTAATCCAAGACTTCCTTCCCTTTCCCAGAACCTGAAAACCACGCAGATAACAAGGATGAGCTAACAGCTCAGCAAGACTACACCAGCCAATCAAAATCTCCAGAAACACACATCAGAAAATACATCAGAAGAGTAGCCGTATAGAATTCAGATAATCGTACAGAAAATCAGACATAATAGAAATCGAACATAAATCAAATAACTGATACAAAAGAACTAAATTCATTTCACACAACAAAATTATTCAAATCAGATTAATCACAAATCACAGAATCGTACAAATCAAAGATCAGAACAGATTTCAGAAAACATTCAAATCAGATTTCATCACAGATAAGATCACATATCAGATATCATATATCCATGACCCTAACAGAATCTCAATAGATTATGGCTCCTTATGCCTCCCTTCCCTGACCCTAACAGAATCTCAACGGATTTTGGCCCCTTATGCCTCCATTGTGCTTATAGCACCATAACTTATCAGAGATACAGAATTATCAAATCAAAACTAGTTTTCAGATTTCAGATTCCCGAACCCTGACAAAATCTCAAAGGATTCTGGCCCCTTATAACTCCCTTCCCTGACACAGACAGAATCTCAAAGGATTCTGACCCCTTATGACTCCCTTCTGATATCACAGCACATCAAAACATTCAAATTCAGAAATCAAATTTCGTCAGAAAAATCGTCAGCGGCATAACGGCAGTATACGGAAATTCTACAGAATTCATAATTTCAGAAATTTATCAAATTATCACAGATAACAGAAAACATCATTTCAAGACTTTCATTGTATTGCCTAAACATTTTTCAACATCAAGATAATTCGTAATTCGCTTAAAACACATTAGAATTCAAAATACCCTATGAAAATCTTCCAAAAAATACTCAAAACATGCAAAAACATCGTCTCAGAAATATACCAAAAGTTACACGGTAAAATATTCACCAGTATGAAATAATACCAACTTTTCGCTAACGGAAATCGAATTCAAAACTGAAAAGTCGTCAAAATCCACATTTCAGAAAATTGAGAAAGGCGGAATGTGCCTTATCTCGAATCGGTCAACTTTTTCAACTACGGCGACGGTCGAAAACGGACGGAAGTCACCCAAAATCCACTTTTTCTCCTTTTTCCTTAGTTTTTCTCTCTCCTGGGCTTTTATCTCTTTTCAAAAATATCTTAATCCAATATATACACATGCAGATCGTACGGGACAAATCCTATTCGTCCCGGGACGATTTTCCCTCTAGACAAGCTTCGTTCAGACAAAGCGTATTCGTTCCTGGACAACTTGCTCTCTGGACAACCTTCGTATGGACGAACCAAATTTCGTCCTGGACGATCCTGGAAGGAAAAACAAGAAAACTGACTTTCACAGGGCATAAGTCTGGCGAAAGGTGGAGGCAGGCCAAAAGTCTGGTGAGAATTGGTGGCCAATCGTAGGTTTGGCTACAATTGGTGGTCGGGCAAAAGTCCGGCAATGATTAGTGGCAAGGCGGTGGTTGAGGAGGAGCTTAGTGGCAAGAGAGATCTTATATGTCTCTTCGTCTCACTTCTTTTTTCCCTTCCTCCTTCCTCTACCCAATGAAGAATGAGAGATTTATTTATATATTTTTGAAAGTGGCAGACCCATAAATAGGGAGAAGATCAAATGCATGTTGGGAGTGTCTTGAATGGATGACCAATATCGACTCCCTTGATCATGGACCGTTTGTAGAGTATTTGAGTATCTTATGATATCATAATTCAATGATCTTAGGCTTCTTGGATTCATCTCGTCGAGCTACTCGATTCAACTAAAAGCATATCATATTTGAAAATTATTTGATATTCCAATTTATGGTTTGAACCTACCAAATGCGCTTCGGGTCCTTGATTTGAACTCATTTACACTTGAATTGGAACAAATTTGGTGTTGTTGGGTTCGTCTTTTCGAGTGTTCAGTTCAAGTATAAGTTTGTTGAAATCGAAGTTTGGATAGTCCCGAATTTAATTTCAAAAGTTTTCAATGCAAAATGGCCTTGAGATTCGTGCTCGATTGGTTGTTTTTTTAATGATATATCATTATATATTACATAATACAAAGGCAGAATTTGCAATAAAATTTTATAAATGTGTCAGAAAAATCTATCTCTAAATCCGTCGCAAATTTCAGTTTGCGGCAGATTCAAGTCCCACGCTAAAAGTTGTGTCGTAAAAGTATTTGAGACCGAACAAATCCGTCATAAATATTTTGCGGCAAATTTACCGAGGATTTATCACGGAATCATAATGAGAAAAACGACATATTCATTTTTGCAAAACGCGGCAAATTCCATTGCAAATTACAAATGATTTACGATGGATTTACCGCGGATTTGCGGCTATAAAAAATCCATTCAAACTGACTTGATTAGTTTCAATTTCAAAGAACTTGTTCATCTACAAATATGGTAATCTCAACCAGACAACGAACCATATGAACTCGTCTGACGCAAGTAAGTGCAATAGCCCTGAACAACTTATAGGTTTAAGATTCTGACACACTCATTAGTAAATCTCTAAAACTAAATTAAATCTGCTCCCTCGAACAACTTAGAAGTTTAAGATTCTGAACATTTCGACGAAGACTTTTTGCAATGCTATTAAGACTTGTGGAAGAGGGGTATGCCATTAAATCCATCTATACAATTTGAATCAGATTCTGAAGCTTTTATATCCAGTAACCAGCAAGCAGAACAGAACAAAGCAAAAGCAGAGGATGAACTCTTAGTAAAACTTTGCAAGAAAATCTGAAGGATAAAAAAGTCTATTGTTCTTTTTTTTTTTTTTCTAACCTTCATTGCTACTCTATATATCCATATAAACATCACCATTACATCCATCTCATTATAAGCGTAATTACATCTTCCCTTTCTTCTTACTTCTTCAAAATATCCTTTCTCCTTACAGCTCAACTTCTCCATTATAACCCAACTTAAAAATTTACACAGCTGACTAACAATCAAACCAAGACAATAGCCCTGATTCGGGCTCACTTGCAAGACATATTATTGCGTGCGCCATCCGAACCGCCCGGAGACAAATCCGGACTCGCCACATCACCTGGATGCACCAGACCCATAGTGACGTGGCACTTCCGAATTCGTCTCTGAACAAATTCAAACGCCACACCCAATAATTTTCCCAGTTGCAGGCCCCGGCGAGTTTGAAAACTTGCAATTAGGACACAAAGGCGACAACTTGTACATCATGACAAGCATGTGGCATCTCCCGCATACCATCGCCACCATCTCCTGTTCATCAGAAGCATCTACAACAACAATTGAAGGGGATGATGGCTCCTGCAAATCCAAGCCATGGATTTCTGATGGTTCAGTGCACATGAGGCTCAGCTCCAGGTCTAAGCCTTGGAGAGGGCTTGTTGGATCCTTGGATGCTCTTCTCTTGGTCCTGGTGTTGTAATAGTGTATCTCTCCTGACTGTAGGGATAGTTTTAAGAAAAAAAAAAAAACTATTTAGTAAATACTTAGTTATATAACATTTTAATGAACTTCTTTTATCAAATACAGGCTTACAATATAAACGAATAAGAAACTTATGTGCTACAGAAGTGAAGATATAAAATGCAAATAAAGCTTATAAATGGTACCTTAAGGTCCAGGCATCGCTGCCACTCCAAAGGCAAGGGCGTCTCAAGGCTGAGCTCGATGAAAGAATCATTTGTCAGCTGGACTCCTCCTTTATCCTCTTCTTCTTCTCTCTTTCTCTTCTTCTTAGAGGATATTTCCATTAAAGAAGCAGGTTTCTTTTCCTTACTGGAGAGTGTTGCTTGCAAAGATATCATGGCTAGTTTTTTTTTTTTTTCACTTCCTTTCTATGTTCATACGTGAGGAGAAGAGCAGAGGACTAGAGAGTTGTTGCCTTTCATACTCAGTTGCCTTGTGGATACCTCATATTTAAGAGCATAGAGCTGAAGTTGAAGGATTAGTACTGTAAAATGGCCTATTTATACCTTCATTTTATTACTTTTAAGGGAAAAAACGAGCAACTAATAATTCTTGTTTAGCCTGGTTGGTGGGCAAGTACGGTTGGGAATCCCCCAATCGGTGAAAAAAATATAAGGTGTGGAGTGCGCACCGTCCGCACAAGCACTAGGTACCTTAGTGGTACCGAACGGTACTGAGTGTGGGTACCACTAGGTACCCAATGCTTGTGTGGACGGTTCTCCCCGTCCGCACTCCGCACCTAATAATCAGGGGTGGCAGCACCTCTTAAGTGGGACTCAATCAAGTGCGGGCCAGGAGGTTTCTGAGGTAGGTGCATTTTCTAAGTCAGCTGAGAATTAGTCACGCCGCTAAGCACATTTCGGGGATAGCAGCGGGTGGATACCACATTCCCAAAAAAATAATAAAGTAAAATAAAATAATAATTATAATTATAATAATAATTCTTTATGTATTTTTTATTCAAGTGCAACATTATCAAATAGGAATATAAATTAGGCTTGATACATTTACAATTTATTTTTAACTGAAATTAATACTCGTTAAGGGACTGTTTGGTCGTCAACATCAATACTGTCTTGTAATATATTTATTTTTTTTATATTGATACAGAAAACAGTTGAGGATAGATTGAATGCCCATCGCTCTTCCATTAATTTGTCTTCTTGATTTGGTTCACAATTAACATAAATTTAAAGCAGGCAAACACTCACTTAATGGCCCAATAAGACCATCCTATCCACTTCTAGCCTCTTGAATTAATTGAAGGTCCCCTCTCATTAATTCTGACTTTTAAAATCACCTCTGCTGCTCTGCATAAGAGAAATTATTCTGTGCGGATACCGAACGGTCCGGAGACCAATTAAAATGAGCCACGCCATCCGGAACACAGCGTTACCGAGCAGCGGTACCGAACAAAAAAGTAACATGGCGTGTTCTGATTAGTCTCCGGACACTGTCCAAGACCCGCTCAAAATAATTTTTCTCTGCTTAGGGTTTTGTTTGGGACAACTTTTGCTCATAATTTTTTTGCTATTTTAAAGAAATTTTTATATTAAGAAAATTTATTTAGAAAGCAGGAAGAAAAAAGTTCCAAACTAAGCCTAAGTTTTTGTGAGGTAAGTAGTAGGTTTGTCCATTTATTTCACTTCGAATTAGAAATGATATCTATTTTTTATTATTTTTTTATTTTTTTTAGAAATAAAATATCTATAGGAAACAAGAACTATGATAAAAACTTGAATTAGTAATATTGTGGCACTAATTCATTGAAGAAAAAAAATCTTCTAAATGGTATACTGTATCAAACTTTGTGATATTTCAAGATTTGTTTGAATCAAACAAGAACTATGATTGTCTTTGCTCGGAATCAAACTTTGTGATATTTCAAGATTTGTTTGAATTTATGATTTGAAGTAATATTTGTGATAGTTATTTGTGATCGTAGATGACAAGTTTTTCATCTTAATGTTGCATAAAAGAATAATAATGTGTAGTTGTGGCTCATAAGAAGCTGAAGATGTGGAAAAATTAAAAGAGAGAAAATTATGGGTGTTAGATATTGGTCAAATTTTAATTTGGATGTCTCTTTGATTCATTTTATCTCTATAAGCCTCTATAAATTGAGACGTTGTACTGGGATTAAGGCTAAGCCAAGTAATAATATTGAAGTTTAGTTTTGACTTTCTCTCTCTCTCTCTCTCACACACACACACAAATAGCAAGAAGCTCTCTTCTTCCACAAGAAATCCAAACAAATTGGTATCAAAACAAGTAGTTAATCAAAGGAGCAGGGAGACGTAGGAAGTCGAATCAACATAGAAGATCAGACTGATTTGTTCGGGCACAAAGAAAGGTGGACGAATGAAAGGCACATTTTCGATTGTGTGAGGCGGCTCAGTGAGTTGTTATCATGCAAGAAAAGGTTTTACGACAGGGCTCGTGCGAAGTTTGTTTGGTCAGGCATGGTGCCTTGATCAGGAGGCACGAAGTGGCCTAGTGTCGCGATCAGGAGGTGCAGTAAGCAACTTCAAGCTGATATTGGTCGTGCGGTTCTTGCATTTGGGCTAGACAAGAGTGAAGACTATGGAGCATGATAACGGGCCTTATCAGGGCAGCAGACTGCTCGCAGGTTGCTAGATGCGAGGCAGACGTTCGGCGCAAGGCGCATACTTAGGGCCAAGTGGGGAGGGGGGGGGTGTGCCAGGGCGCAAGGCGCATGCTTAGGGCCAAGTATGGTGCTGTGCGCGGTTTGCGCTAAGAAGGCAGGCTCTGGGCCAACGAGTTTGTCGCATAGGCTCGGAACTGGAAGTGGGTGGAGCCTGATTAGTTGTTTTGGAGAAAAGAGTAGGATACAAGTCCAGATTTATCAATGGATTAGAAGAAGTGGAGGATTGAAAGGGGATGTATTTCTTGAGCTATTATTTGCAACTAGCAGGTGAAGTGGAGGTGGAGCTGGGCTCGGGCAACAAGAGGCTCAAGAAGCTAGCGGAGCAGTTCTTGAGTAAATAGGTGAAGGAGAATCTGGTAATGATCTGGTGGAGTCCTTTTCTTGGGTTGTTCTTTATGAACAGCAGGTGAATGAGAAGAGGTAATTGGAGAAGAAGATCGTCATGATTGTTTTTGGAGGACAACAAATATCTTATCTTATTTTTATAAAATTGGACAAAGGTGAAGATTGTTAGATATTGGTCTAATTTTAGTTAGGATGTTTTTTAGGTTCATTTTATCCCAATAAGTCTCTATATATAGAGGTTGTAATAGGCTTAAGGCTAAGCCAAGCGATAATATTAAAGTTCGGTTTTGGCTCTCTCTCTCTCTAGAAGAGCAAGAAGCTCTCTTCCTCCCCCATGAAATCCCAACAATGGGGTTTGATCAAGTTGAAAAACATTAATATGGGAGTTAAGAATTGCAATGGTTTGCCCCTTCACTTCACTAGAGGAAGTGAGATTATAAGATAAGATGATTGGTATTAGTGTTGATCGACAATAAATGTAGACATAAATTAGCTACACTAGGTAATGGACGTAGTCTAACAAAAGATGTTGGCAATGGCTGGCCAAGGGCATCAACAGTGATTGACGAGAAACATTGACCTGGATCAGTAGCAGTTTTAGGTGGACATCAACAACAGTTGATGACATGTGTTGGGTGATAATGGGCAAAGCTCTAGAGTCTAGACGAAGTCTTAAAATTATCTCTATGTCAGCCTCATCAATGAGTAGAACTATGATAAAGTTATAATTTTTGGGAGGGTGTATCTAGTTGTTTTGACAATAAATTAGAACACACGATCACAATTTGTGTTGATCCCACTTGACCAATAAATATTTTTTAAAAAATTTTATTATATGAATGTTATCATAATTGTTTGATTTTGGGGTTATCTAATGTCTCTTAAAGAAGCTCGTTTCAACTTCTAAAACAAAAACAAAAAAAATCGCAAGTCATTTGATCCCTCAAATTATCCCAAGAAGTTTCCAAATATACATTAAAGTGCTTGATTTAGATTAGGATTAAGGTATTATTGGCATCATTAGACTCGTTTCAACTAACAATTTGTTGAGATTAGACCGTCTCAAAGTTAATTTTGAAAAATTTTATACGAAAAATAAATAGGATATTCCTCCGATCAAGAAGGGGGGATATTAAAAGAGCTACCAAGTTCAATCCATTCTAGGAATGAAGAGATACCAAATCTTCTTAATATCCCAAATATTGAGCTCCAATTTGAGTTAGACTACAAACTCCTCAAGGTAAGACTTTTGTCTAAGCAAGGAGTTCTCATGCACTCCTGTTGAATAGGCCCATGCACTCCAAAGTATTTTAAGCTACCTTTTAAGAATTGTGAAGAGGGAATCCATCTTTCTCAAAGGTGGATGAAACTATTACTATGGAGAGAGGTTGTGGAGTTTGCGAGGAGCTGAGGGTGTCCAGCCTCTTTCAAAGTGATGGAGTTATGACACTATTGTACTAAATAATAATGGAGGGATATTTTGTACTTCAGGATACATGTAACTAAAGATGTACTAAATCATATAGATAACAGTTGCCACTTGTCAAATGAGTTGGTAAGACACTCATAATTCTCTTTTTAATCCTTATATTCCATACTAATTAATATGTCCCCTTTTTTTTATAAAATATTATGAAAGTTGGAACTTAAGTCATAATTGAATATTTTATTGATGGATTAGAATAATAAATTTATAATGATAAAGTATATAGTGTCAGTGTGATCGAAGGTGGGATGATGAAGGTCAAGAAGTAATGAACCTAAAAGATGAGTTGATACAATGTTAGGTCAAGCTGGCCATGCAATAATTGTAACAATTTGATCATCATTAAAATAAATTTAAAATGAGAATCTAAATTTTTGTCTAAATTGGAGCGCCGTGGCGATGTGCCTTAGAGCGCAACATTGCTAGAAATTACCACCGCGATATTGAAGATTATATTCTACAGTAATTATGGGGATTTAGCATGTAGGGCTGCGATGCCAAATTACTTGAGTGTCACAGTGTCATGCACTGAAATGAGTTTTTAAATATATTAAAATGGCATTAGCTCCATTCATTCATTCCATCACCTCACTCAGTCGTGGCTTGTCATGGAAGGAAAGAAGGAGAAAGGGATGAGGAGAGAGGAAAGCGAAAGCAGGATTTTTAGTCGTCAATTCATGTGTGCTTTCTAAGGTTTATGCTTCTTAATTAATGTTTTGGAGAACTCGAGAAACATGTATTGTGTGAGGATTTTAATTTCTTGATATTTTTAATGTAGATATATCTATAAAGCTTATACTTTATGATATTTTTTATATAGATATTAAAGCTTATGTTATATGAGATTTTAGGATGATCATATACTGAGATTTTAAGTGCAGCTATAATTTCTAAGAGAAATGCATTATGAGGTTTTTATATGATCAACTATCTTATGAGATCATCATCTTTTGAGATTTATTATCTTGGGTTCAGGTTGGCCTGAAAATCTAATTATTATTTCAGTTGATGTAAACGGGTCAAGTTTGAGTTAAACATGTCATTTTCGAGCTAATTTGAGTTAAAGATGTCATATTCATTTAAAAAATTTGTAGTATCCATATTATAAATGTGTTAAATGGATTTGGCTATGGTTAGACAAGTTTTGGTTTAGTCAAGTTCAGATTAAACACTTTGACCCATATGATAAACTAGTTAGGTTGAGGTTAAACATACTTGGGTCAAGTTAACTTCAGGTTAGGACTGAACTCGACCCACCATCCTGATTAACATCAATACCTAGACTATGCATTAAAGTTGTAAGTTTTATAGATTGGTTCAAGTTTGAATTGATTTGGACTAGTTCAAACACAATTTGGATCCAAGTTGGAAGTTGAATTTAATCAAGGCTCTTAGAGAGAGAGAGAAAAAAAAAATTTAACCAAGGCTCTCGCGGGTGAAGCCATTGGGGAGCCTTGAACCAACATCCCCATCCTACGCCCTTTCAAGGGAAACATCCCCATCATTTAGATACTTACTACATTATATGAAACCACCCAATCAGGGTACCTCAACATTATATCATAGCCTGATCGAGAGGTCCAACGAGGTGGCCTTAGTTTTCCTGCACTACATCAAGATTCCTCTGCCCATCATTTTGACTTTAGTTCCATAGCTTCCTTCTTCCTTTGAATAATTTCTCTGAAATGGTTTCTCATCTTTGCTCTTGTTGGATGATAGACACTGTTCTTGTAGGTCTTGAGCGAAGATAGGGTTGATAGTGGAAAATTTATTTAGTGTGTTCGTAAATATAATATAATAGGTGAAGCAAGGGATGTGAGTGTTGGAGAAAATAATAAGTTACTCTAGTTAACAACTTGAGGTCAAATAAAAGCTCTTCGTCGTTGCATCACCCTCATCTTAACTTGCCCCTCGTCCCCTACTTCCAACAAACCCACATCAAAGGCTCACCCATTTTGAATATTACTTCAATTCACTTTTAAAATAATATTTGAACCAATGAATAGCCCTTTAATATAAGAAATTTTTCTTCATGTGAGATTTTTTTTTTTTTGAGAATATTAAATCCAAAAAAAAAATTATATTTGCTCAAATAAATTCTTTAAAGGAGATAAACAGTAAAAAATTCTATTAGTTTCAATTTAAAATGAATACAACTGGTTAGAGGTTTAAAATTCCAATTCAGTCCATTCCGACGAACGTTAGTTTACCATAATACCCTTAAAACGAGGTGTAAATTGCCCCTCAAACTCAAAGTCTGGAAAAGCAGGTCCAAACTCTCTGTCCGGGTTTCCAAATTGGCGGCGGCTATATTGGTCTTACCTTCTACCTGCTTATTCAACTAAAACATTGAACAATCTCAAGAAACAAGTCGAGGTCTTGTACTTCTGACACCACCCGTTTCTCCGGATCCGTTACCTGGATGTTTTTGCCGCCGAATTTCGCCTATTTATCCTTTCTTTGACTGATTGAGCTGGCTATTTGCTCTTACTTCGGCTCTCTTGCTTCTTCGATGGCGGAAGCCCGCATCTCGGGGGTCACCCTGCCGTTAAGTGAGAGTTCTTCAACTTTCTTGATTTCTTAAGTTGAATCTATCGTTGTCTAAGCAGAATTTGGTGATTTCTTATGCGTTTCAGTAGTGACAATTCTTGTAGAGCATACTTAAGGAATAAATGTGTTCTAGGGCAGGGCGATGTTCCTTCTCCAGAAAGAATACGCTTTGCTGGATAAGGATGCCGACACGAATTATAATTGGATTTTAGGATATCAAGGGCAGATGTTAATTTGATCGCTTTTTGGGCTAATTTTTGGAAAATATCTCATCTAGTAAACACTTGGTGAAAGCTTGCTATTTTAATGAAGTTTTGGTAAATGCCCATCTTTTGACCCATCTTAGGCACGAAACTGCAGAGTCTTTTAGATTCTATATTAAATGGTGATCCCAAGGTGCATCGTCTTCTTTACGTTGATGTCATATTTCACGATTTACCTTTATTCCCTAATTTTTTTTCTTCTAAATAAATAATTAAAATTAGATCATTTTGTTAGATGCTAGTATGGTTTATAATTAGAAGTTTTAAGTTGTTAATTTGGTCTACACGTAAGAGAAAGTTTAAGTTGGCTCTCTTGGAGTAATTATGCACTTACCTAGCTGAAGAAACTATAACAAATCATTGTCTTTATTGCTTCAAGGCTTCAGTTGTTAGAGAATATGCTTTGAAAGATGTTGTGTGTGAGCATAGTGTGAGTCAGGGGTCGATTCAGCTTGCAAATTGACCTTTGACACTCCATTGAATGGATAATGATTTGGCTGATATGGTTAAGATGGACGTTAAGAGATTTACTATAAACTTGCTTCAAGTTGATGCTATCTAAATCCATCTAAGTCCTTGAGGATTTGGAAGCCATTAGAGATGCAGCTCCTTTTGAAAGTATTGGTCATTGAACAAAATAGCAAATTGCAAGTAATATGTATGCCTTTACACTCCTAAGAAGAGTGAGGTATCAATGTTTGTCCAATATGGACATGCTAAACTACCACTAGGATTCTCCACAAACCTCTCTTTGATGTGAATAGCTAGTTGTTCATTGAGAAATTGCACCCTAGACACAGGGAGGGAGGGAGGGCCCTCTTTGATGCGATCTTCAGGCAATGATTGAGTAGTTGCAACTTATATGTAGAGAGAGAAATGAGAGAGGGGAGGGCAGGCTTGCTTTGATGTGATCATATGATAGTTTATTGAGCCATTGCAACCTAGATACAAAGGGAAGGGAGGGATACCTGGAATCTATTCGGTTAAAGGGAAAATTTTTTATTTTTTTATTTTTTTATTTTTTATTTTTGGTTAAAGGGAAAATGAGAACAAATATGATAGGTATTAGGGTTGCATTTAAATTTGTCAAAATATTAATGTTTTAGTTGAACAAAATCAATACGGGGGAACAAAGAAAATTTTTAAGGATTTTCTTATGATATTCATTTTATCCCCCAAATTTTTTATTTCTGCTTACTCAAGATAAATCATTAGTGAAGTTAATGACATATGTAAGTCTTAATGAATCACATCATATTCAGGATCATTTTTTTTTTCATTTTATAATTCATGCTAACTTGTCATGTAATTACTGACGTGAGCCAAAATATTTGTTTTTTGCAAATATATTTTAGTGTTTTTGTAACCTATTTTTTATGGGGACTTTTTAAAAAATTTCTCCTTACTCTTTTGATGCACAAGAAGCCCTTGTTTGATTGCTCTACAGCTTACGACATTAATATATTGAAATTAACTTCAAGTAGTGAGGAATATTATTTCTAGATCTTGGCTAGAAATAATATGCAGATTTTGGTTATGTGAAGCTTGCCATCAATATAACATATTAACATTTTTAAGCACGTTATGTGTCTTAGTATACCGTTCCATTTATAGTGATAGAGATGCTTCAAGTTTTTGTTAAATTCCAAGGTCACGGCAATGGCTATTGAATAGCAGTTTGCATTTGTAGTGTTTGACTCTTTCCTTATTTCCACTGAGACTTTAATAAATCGTGAAAGCAATTGTTTGTACTGAGGAAATAAAAGCGTATGCTGATTGGAGTGAAATTCCAAAGTCACAACAATGGCTATTGCATACTAGTTTGCATTTGTAGTGTTTGCCTCTTGCCTTATTTCTACTGAAACTCTAATAAATTGTGAAAGTGATTGTTTGTCCTAAGGAAATAGAAGCGTCTGCTGATTGGATATTTGTGTTTGCGTGATTGTCAATGCCAGTTAAAACATCTGTTCAAAACTTTTGACCCATGCGAATGGTGGGACTTGTTTTTTGAAATTACAATAACTTTTTAGTTCATTTATACAATATTTTAAATATCGTCCTATTGGATTGAGCCAATGTTTTTCATTGCATTAATGCTCTCTTTTGTTTATTCAACCTTTTATCCATTGTACATCTTACTGTTATCTAATTTGACCCATTTTTATAGATTTAGAGCAAATACTTCAAGAAGCGCAACATCGATGGTTACGCCCAATAGAAATATGTGAAATCCTACGTAACTACCATAAGTTTTGCATTGCGCCGGAGCCACCAAACAAGCCTCCTAGTATGGTTCATTTCCTAACTAAACTTGCAATTTTTTTCTTTTTTATAGCAACTAAACTTCAATTGTGATGGCTAAAATACTTTATTGATAATATGGTCTGGTTTATGCATGGACGTATTTTACTCAATGCATGTCAAACCATGTATGCTATATTTTTGTTACTCATTTGTTATCTTGGGATGACTAGAATTAGAAGTTTCCCATCGAACTTTATTACTTGGTGTTATATTTATCCTTTTCAAACCTTTACTGTTGTATTTATTTTTAGAATTTTATTGGAGAGCTTTTGAGGTAGAACATCAAGCAGAAAATGATTATGGCTAAACACAAAAGCAATATCAAGAGCTTAAGATGAGATCAAGGCCCAGCACAAGATCAAGATTAAGGGCCAAGTTAGATTCATCCAACAAGAAAATTAAATAAGTTGATATTTGAGAAGTTTTGAATTTATATACAACAACAACATCAAGCCTTCGTCCCATTACGTGAGGTCGGCTACATGAATCTTTTTTCGCCATTATGTCCGGTTAAAAGTCAAATTCTCATTTAAATCTAATTAAGAAAGACCATTTCTAATATTTTCAAACCAAGTCTTTTTAGTTCTACCTCTACCTTTCTTAATATAAGTCAAGTTTAATACCTCAACTTTCTTAACCAGGTCATCGGAAGGCCTCCGGTTAATGTGACCAAACCATCTAAGGCGACTCTCTCTAATCTTATCTTCCGCTGAATTTATATACATGTTTACAATTTAAAATTCAAATTTAAAATCTTTCCCTCCTTGTGAGAGGCTTTTTTATTTTATTAATTTATCTTTGCTTTACTTGTTTTCTTCTTATTTGAAAGGCATAGAGTTGTCACTCCTTGTTTGGAGTCAAGATTGGAGCAGCCCACTTTCTTTCCTTCTTTGCATTGATTTTTTTTTTTTTCATTCTTATTTCCTTTCTTAGAACCTAATGTAATGCTTTAAATAGTTTCTTCGATGAATGAAAATTAGCACTGAATATTTGAGAAGAATTTTGTGATTGAAATATTTATGGTTGTGTTCTTTGTGGTTGAACCCCATTATTATGTGCTTGTTGGCCGAGGATAAAATTTTGGTGTGATGTCCTACTTATAAATATAGCACACATCCTTTTAGGCGGCCATGCTCATGTTATCTGTCTATTATTCATTATGGCATGGAGAGCTATGTGTTCGAACATAGATAACAAAAACATCAAATTTTTACCTATCAAGCCCATAAAAAAGATCTCTCTAATTGCACTCCATAATCCTATTTTTATTATCTGATCGGAATTTAATAAAAAAGAAGAATGCTCAACTTTAATTGATAGTGATTAGGCCCTCTAAAGCTAGGCTAGATGGTTGTGTTACTGATTCAAAGAGACTCATTGATGTGGCTTTCATTCTAACTTATGCATTTTTTTATTCTACTTTTATATTCATAAAAAAATTTTCAAGCCTCACCTACAAATCAAGTTGCGGCACACATGTTTTGATCATATGGAAGAACAAGCCATATATTGAGGACATATAGATCACAAAGGAAGATTTGGAGAAATTAGCACCAGGACATTCTAAAGAATCCTCGGATTTCAACTTTGCAAAGCAAAAGATCTAATGGGCTCAACAAAATTGATGTGAAACATCAAGCAACAAATTATTATGGCCCCACTATCAAAACAATATTAAGCTTTCAAATGAGAGCAAAGGCTATGATTACTCTATCACAATATCAAGATCAAGGGTCAAGAGAGATTCATCCAATAAAAAAAAGAAGTCTACATTTATAATTTTTGAAATTTTATACATGATTAAATTTATACTTCAAAAGTGAAAATAAAATTATAAGTCTTTCCCTCCAAGTGGGAGGTTTTTATTTAATTAATTTTCCCTTACTCTATTTTCATTCTCCTTATTTTGGCGAGCGAAGAGCTGGTCATTCCTTGATTGAAGTCAAGATTGGAGTGGTTCCACTCTCTTCTCTTCTTTGCTTTGAATTTCCTCTCATTTCTTAATTTATTTTTTCTTATAAGCTTATGTAATGCTTCAAACATTTGCTTTAAAGAATGAAAATCAGCTTTTGATGCTTGAGAAAAAAAAAATTGAGATTGACATTTCTAGGGTTGTGTGCCTGATGGCCGAACCCCTTTTGTTTTGTGTTTAGTGGCTAGCCCCTTTGGATATTTCTTGGTAGAAGACATGGTATCATTCTTATCTCTTTCTGATTTCTCTCCCAGCTTCTCCTGCTTATTCCCCACAACCCTAGCCTCCTCTTTCGATAGGTTTTTGCCATTGTTCATATAATTTTTTTTTCTAAGCCCCCTGCAAAGGTTCAACAAAAACAAGGGCACCCTTGACCTAGTTTATCTTTCCCCTTTTAAAATCCTCAAAACACCTTGGATCCCTACCAAATACTCTATATCAACTCTCCATTCTCCCCATTAACCTTCTAAAGCCTCTCTAGTCTCGAAGACACCATTAGATTCCTCTCTCAACTACGTATTTCAAAATTGGCCAAAATCAGCTCAAATTAAACACCTTGAGCTAGTCATGGGTATAACCTCTACTAATTATCCCTTAATATGTTGAATTCGCTCCAAAAACTTAATCACATCCCCCAGCCTCCCCCTACAACTTTCAAGAGGATTCATGCCCAAAAGTTCCTTCTATGCCACAACCATAAAGGTATCATCCTAAGAGATAGTTTTACGATTGATTTGACCTAGCTCTTGGCCGACCGTTTTACTTAGCCTACTCTCCTCATAAAATTTCTCCATTAATCTTGAGGTGTTTTACATATCCATAGCCACCCATTTCAAAATTGAAAGCCTTGCATCCACGCCTTCAAGGCTAGATAAACTTTCAAGCTTAGCTTCTTTGTTTCGGGAATGAGAGCTTGCTTCTATATGTTAAATAACTAAAGTCTTTTAGGGTGGCCAAATCTATTTTTACTATTTTCTATTTTCGCATCATTTTTTTCTATGCATGTTCTTATAAATTTGGATATTCAACCTAAGAATGTTTCATACTATTGCTTATAAATATCCTAACTTGTTTAACATGTAAATTAGGTGGTTCACTTTTCCTATTTGATCGGAAGGTATTGAGATACTTCCGGAAGGATGGCCATAATTGGAGGAAGAAAAAGGATGGAAAGACTGTGAAGGAAGCTCATGAGAAGCTAAAAGTATGTTTCAATTGAGATAAGTAAAGTTTGTGTGTCCATGAGATATGATTTGCATGCAGTTTGTTTTGATTACTTATTTTATCTCTCAAGTCTCGAGTACTGTGCACATTGACGTGGACATCTCCACCGCATATGTAAAATATGACTGATATACGTAACAATACAAAAAATTTTGTGCATATGCATGTTAATATATTAAATTTCCAGCTTCAATGGCTGCTTTTATGGCACCATTATATGAAGTTCGTAGAGAACTTCTGGTTAAAATTTGCGTATCAAATTGGTATGGCTCCTTTAATTGTTCGTTTTTTTAACTCATGTTAAAAAACAGCATTACTTTGTTATGAAAACTTTTGCATGTTTCACATGAATATTCTACTTCTCCTAAGTGCTTCACTTCTCAAGAGTAATTAGCTACTTCAACATGTCAAAAATTTCAGGCTGGAAGCGTAGACGTTTTGCATTGCTATTATGCACACGGAGAAGATGATGAGAACTTTCAGAGACGAAGTTACTGGATGTTGGAAGAGTATGGGAGCACATTTCTTTCATAGCTTGTTCTGATTTGTGGTCTGAGAATATTATATTATTCAAAAATGCTATCTTTATTTTGATTAGTTGGGGTCAGCCTTATGATAATGAATGCTCTCTGCTTTGTTTCTTTTTGCTTCCTCTAATGCATTATCAATCATTTAGATTGTAAGCGACTTGATTCCCTTTTTCATGATTAGATGAGCTGTGAATTTTTTATCCTTGTTGCAGGTTTTTAATTGCAGATGGAGACTTAGTTAACAGTTATTTTCATACAACAATTTAGTATAATAAAGCCTTGCTTTTCCTTCGTTTAATTTTAATTTTAATTTTTTATTTTGTCTAATTGGTAATGGCTTTTGTTGCCCATTATATTTTTATTTTTAAAGTTTGTATTGGTAGCAGACTGTTACATGTTTGCAGTATTTGAGATTAATTCTTATGTGTTGTCAGAGCTACAAGTGGTTTATTTTTGGAATGACTTAAAGCTTTCCTTAATTTGACAATGGGTGTCTTTTATTTTCCAATTTACCATGTTTTTTTAAAAGTTTGTAGTAGTACTCATCTTAGTTTCAATTAGCATAACTGTACATGAAGTTGCCGTACTTCAGCTAAATTCTTATCCGTTGACATGATTTATCAAGTACCACATACTTTTGTGCTTTAGAAAAGGTCTGCGGCAAGATGGGTTCAGACTCTGCATTAAAAGGTTGATATAATTCAATCTAATATTTTAATTCATAATTAGATTTGCCAAAGATTTTGGAACCAGTGGAGTTATTTTTAGGATGCGCGTTAAGGTTCTCAGAGGAACTAGAAATTAGGATTCCCCGACCCCTTAATTTTCCTTTGAATTCTTCCTTATAAGTTTGCTTTTGAAACCCTAAGCCCCTTAAGCTAGAGTAGCAGAATTCAGTTCTCTACTACAATACGTCCATTGCTAAAGTGTTGTGGTTTTTAACAGCATCTTTTCTGCAATTTTGTGGTATACTGTTATGGTTGCAGGCCAAGGGAGGCTGGACAGGTCGGCCCAACAAGCATTGGAGGGGGCGGAACCTGAAATAAAATTCAGGGAGATTTCGGCCCGCTTGTGAGGCCCAGCAAAGCAATAATTTATTATGATAGGAGGGAATTAATTAGAAAAAGATCTCCTATTTGAATTCAAATAAGAGAGGAAAAGTTATAAGGAAAGTGGACTGATTTGGGGTCTGATTTGGTGATTGATTTGGAGGAGATTCATTAGGAGGTGTTTACTAATTAGAAGTGGCTGATTTGGAAGAGATTAATTAGTAGATGTTTCCTAATTGAAGAGGGCATATTTGGGGGCTGATTTGGAGGAGATTAATTAGGAGATGTTTACTAATTGAAGACGGCTGATTTGGGGGCTGAATTGGAGGAGATTAATTAGGAGATGTTTTTTTATTAAAGGGGCTAATTTGGAGGAGATTAATTAGGAGATGTTTACTAATTGAAGAGGGCTGATTTGGGGGCTGATTTGGAGAAAATTATTTCCTAATTAAATAGGGCAGATTTGAAAGGGATTAGGGAAGGGCTATTTTGGGATTTGCTTTGTTTTGTATGCTTTAAATAAGTTGTTTACCCTATGTTTCATTTTTTACGCTTGATTTTGCTGGAATTAGTTTTGCTTAGGTTGAATGGGCTCTAGTCGACGGTTAGGGATTTAGAAGACGGTATCTTCCTCTCCAATTGAAGATCCAACTGTAACTTGTGCTTTTCTTCTTAGTTTTTTTAATGAAAAAAAATTTCTTGTGTTCTTCCTAAATTTCTTGTGTCGTTCTCTGGTTTTGCTGAAATTGCATCCACTTCTTATCAAATTGGTATCAGAGCGCTTTCTTGGGCCGAAAAATATGATATCTTTGTTGTTTTTGCAATTAGAGCCTAGATCCAATTAATGTCAGCAAAGAAGATGGAGCCGTTGGAAGACGAGATGGAGTAATTCAAAACCGGTGCGGAGAAGTTCTCTGCGATGGAAGAAAGATTTTCATATATGGAAAACCATATAGAAAACCGATTTAGAAGGGTGGAGGAGATGTTAAGAAGGCTCTTGGAGATGCAAACAAAAACTTCACTGAGGGTTCCGATGGCTAACCCTAACCAAGATTTGACAGGGATTCCCTTGATTGAATCGAAGGGAAAGAAGATCAGACTAGAGTTTGAAGAGGGGAGTTTCTTTCATCAATAGCCATCTCATGGGGCTCCAATAAGGGGTGGATCCGGGTTTCTGGATGAGGGCACAACAAAGAGAAAATATTTTGGTGGAGGTGGTAGGGCGACTGACCACTATAAGAGGCATTTTGGGCAAGGGGAGTTGGCCATCAGAGAAGGAGGGGGTCAAAAGCCACCTCCTATTTTATTTTTTTAAGAGCCACCTCCTAGGTCTTCGATAATGGGCGGGATAGGGTTATCGGATGGGGGGACAACATAAAGGGAGTTTTGTGGTGAAGGTGGTGGGATGACTGACCATTATGGGAGGTCTTTTGGGCAAGGGGAGTGGACGGCCGAAGGTGGGGGACCTGTTGAACCATGGGGATCGGTTCATGTGAGGCGAAAGGAAGGAAGGTGGGATTCCCGCCCTCGATACATGGGAGAAAGAAAGATCACGACAATCGCTACACTGGAGGAGGAAAATGTTATTGGGGTGGTAGCGATCATAGGGTGAGGAAGTTGAGGATGCCAGTATTTGAAAGGGAGGATGCTTATGGGTGGTTGTTGAAAGTGTAGATGTATTTCATGGTGAATGGATTGAATGAGGAGGAGAAGTTTACGGTTGCATGACTATGTCTAGAGAGGAAAGCACTAGCTTGGTTCCAGTGGACGATAGCATGGCCACTAACAGAGCAGCCGAAGAAAGCTATCAACAGCTCCCATCCTTCCACCATGAGGACAAGGTGCGTCTTTGGGGGGGGGGGAGTATTGTTACGACTGCAAGCTAAGGGAGGTTGGATAGGCCGGCCCAGCAAGCAAGGGATGGGGCGGAACCTGGAACAAAATTAAGGGAGATTTCGGCCCCCTCTTGTGGGGTCCAACAAAGCAATAATTTATTATGATATGAGGGAATTAATTATAAAAAGATCTCCTATTTGAATTTAAATAAGAGGGAAATTTATAAAGAAAGGGGTCTGATTTGGATGAGATTAATTAGGAGATGTTTCCTAATTGAACAGGGCTAATTTGAGGGCTGCATTGGAGGAGATTGATTAGGAGATGTTTCCTAATTGAAGGGGGCTGATTTGGGGTTGATTTGGAGGAGATTAATTAGGAGATGTTTACTAATTGAAGATGGATGATTTGGGGGTTGAATTGGAGGAGATTATTTCCTAATTTAAGAGGGCATATTTGGGGTTGATTTGGGAGGGAACTAGGGGAGGGTTATTTTGGAATTTGCTATGTTTTGTATGCTTTAAATAAGTTGTTTACCCTAAGGTTCAGTTTTTACGCTTGATTTTGTTGGAATTAGTTTTGCTTAGGTTGAGTGGGCTCTAGCCGACAACTAGGAATTTGGGAGAACCAGATCTTACTCTCCAATTGAAGATCCAACTGTATCTTGTGTTTTTTTTCTTAGTTTTTTTTTTCAATAAAAAAAAGATCTTGTGTTCTTCTTCCTAAATTTCTTTGTCTTTCTCTGATTTTACTGAAATTACATCAACTTCCTATCAAATTTATTGATGGACCGGCCGATTTAATTGATATAGAATTAGGAAATTTCTTAATCAAGAGAGAGTTGTTTAGGAAGGTTCTAAATCAAAGAGGAATTGTTTAGTAATGTTTTAACTATAATTGGGAAGGAATTATTTAGGGCAAAGATCTAATTTGAATTCAAAATCTTAGAGGAAATTATTTAGGGAAAAGGAGGAGAATTAAGGGGGATTATATAGGAAAGTTTTAATTATAATTGGGAGAGAATTAATTAGGGAAATAAATCTAATTTGAATTCAAATTTGATAGGGAATTATTTAGGAAAAATGGCTGATTTGGGAGGGAATTATGGGAGCCTATTTAAGGTTAACAATATGATGATTTCAGGATGATATTTTGAGAGTTTGCTGAATTTAGTTTATTCTTAGGTTATTTGGGCTCTAGTCGGCGGCTAGGGATTTGGGAGAGCTGAATCTTCCTCTCCAATTGAAGATCCAACTATATCTTGCTATTTTCTTTCATATATTTTGCAGTAAAAATATTTTTTGGTGTGTTTTCTTCCTAATTTCTTATTGTCATTCGCTGATTTTGAAAAAATTGCATCCACTTCCTATCAAAGTGGTACCAGAGCATGATCCAGTTACCTATGGTGGGAAGAAAGGTAGAAATGTTAGAAGGGGAGATCAGACAATTGAAATATGATTTTGTTCATATTTCGAAAAGCAATTTTAGCCATCTATGAGAAGATCAATGGGAAGTTTGCCATCATGAAGGAGATGATTAGGAAGCTGCTCGAGTTCGAAACAAAAAGGTGTTGTCGAAGGCGAGGGAAGCCACCACCGGCCGAGAAAGTGGGAAAATCCTAATCTGATTAGGAGAGGAGAAAATTAGGTGGAAATATTTGGGTAAGAAGAGGAGATGCGACATTTGGAGCCACTTCTAATGAGACTAGGATTTTTGGAGGAGGTGCAAAGTTTGGAAGGAGAAAAAGATGTGGAGAAGATAGAAGTGCCAAACATGGTTTTCGCACGCCTACAACAATATCGAGGGGTGTTCCAGCTAGTTTAGGGGTTGCCTCCTCCGCGGGAACGTGAACATGCTATCATCTTGAAGGAAGGAGTCTCACCTATCAGAAATCGTCTGTATCGTCATTCCCAAATCCAAAACGAAGAGATTCAGAGATTAGTCAAGGAGATTCTCGAGGCAGGGATCGTTCGACCCAGTGTCAGTCCATTTTTTAGTCCAGTGCTATTAGTCAAGTGCTTTTGTAGCAATTTACTTCGTTCCACCTTGAGGACAAGGTGGAAATTTGGGAGGAGAGTATTGATGGATCAGCCGATT